CCCTGCAAGCCCTGCACCCCCCAAAGCCCCTTCACCCCCTAGCAGCCCCTGCAACCCCCTGCACCCGTCAAACGGTCGCTGAAACTTTGTTTGTTCTCTTTGTTGGGTTTGTTTGCAGTTCTCGGGGTCACAAATTGTTTTCGAGCTTGCCGGGGTTCCAACAAATTTGAAAGTGTTCCGCAAGTAGCACGTGCCACGCCCCCCAGACCAAGGGCTCTCCGCCCGCCGGCCTGTCCGCCGCCATTTAATAACAATAATAACGAAGGGCCGGACAAAAAGAGGATTTCGCCGAGAACAAAACTTTCTTGGGGACGCGATTTCATTATTTAAATAAAAATTCAAATTAAATAAGATTAATTTCAGTGTGAAGCGGTAGAAGGTAGAAGGCAGCAGGCAGCAGGCAGAAGGCAGAAGGAGCTTTTAACATAATTCCACTCAACGCCACTCCGAAATGACTAATGACAGATTGTTTAGTTACACAGCGATAAATGCTCGAATGAGAAGCGTTTATACGACTATTTGCTGCCAATTTGCTTTCGCGTTATTTATACTAACTAAAAAGTGTGCCAAAGTGACTTCCCAACGGATTTTCCATTCAGGGATCAAACTGAATTGTAAACCAAATTCGAAAATATAACGCAGAGCGACTGGTAGCTGTTTAATGGCAGAGTATCCACCGCCCACAGATATGACACATTTGTCTATCCGGCAAATTCTTCATACTTCATCAAAGATCCGCAGAAAACACTTAAGGCTCGTGCGGTGATTTTTCTAAGCTGTCAACTGCAACTGTCCCTGAAAACTGGACATGGCCAGGCCATCATCATCAGCAGTGGCCAGTAACCAGTGACCAGTAACCAGTAACCAGCCAGCAGACATACTAATTGCCGTCCATAAGCCTCAGGCACTTGATGTTCGGAACATTCGTTCGAAAGTTAGATATCAGCAGGGAAACCCAGGAAATTTAGGCCACTTGGCCTAAATCGCCACTTGGATACAAAATACCAGAGTTTTTCTCTTAGACATCAAACTTTGTGCTATGACAGCAAGATTGAACAGCAAATAGAAAGGCAAAAACTGAAGTTACAAAAACAGTCGTACTAAAACTTTTGGGAGTGTATTCCATTTACACTAAAATGTACAAAAAAGTGTAAAACATAATTATGAAATACCTTCTAATAGGAAACTAAAATATTTTGTGTGCTGCATGCGGGGCAGCAAATAAAAAATACTGCATTGTGATTTCGCATAGCCCAAAAAAAAAGATTTGCCGTAACATATGCAATAGACGTAGCGTTGCTGTGATTGATTGCCAGCCCACACAGAACCCACTCTTCAGAGTGCGAAAATGGGAAAAATATTGCCTGAAATCAAATTGTCAACGCATTGCCCGAACCAGAAGCAATTCTGCACTAAAATGCAAAGCAATTAGCACCCAGGGGGGAGGCTACGGGAAACGGAAACGGAAACGGGAACGGGGAAGAGCATTTCTTCCCCCTTGAGTTCGGCAAAGTATTATTTTTAAAATGGTCGCCCCATGGGTGGCGCCACCTGGCGGAGATCTGGACTCGCAAATGAACAACAAACTTAAGGGTTTTCCGGGGAAAAACGTGGAGAGCGATGGAAACGAAATATCGTCAATAAGGCAAGGGAATTACAGAAATTAAATGAAATGCAATTAACCGGCCAAATGAGCGAAGCCCCCGCGGGAAAGGAAGCGAGAAAGCGAGAAAAAATAGAGAAGTGGCCACCGAGAAAAAAGGAATCCGATTTGTAAACTTGGCATTAGGAATCACATTTCTGCCCGATAATTACCGAATGCTACCTTGCACGACGCACACAGAAAAAAAGACAAATAAATGTCCTTTGCCAAAGGTATGGACCACTCGATTTGCATTGCTTTATATATGATGCAAATCAGATCGGGTTGCCCTTTAAAAAGCAATGCTCATTTACGTAATGCTACGTACTCTTCAATCCAATCTCTCTTGTTCTTGCGACTGACAATTCAGCACACAAGTTAATGGTTATCATTATGAAAAATTTCAAAATATTTCGTACTCGCAAAAGATATTTATTCTGAAGTGCACGGTTGAGATGGGCGCAGGACTTCAGGACTTGGCTCCAATCGGATGGCATTGCCAGCAGCTCGTCCTTGATTCCTTGGCCATGCAAATGAGTTGGATTTATGCATCCCAGTTGCCCCTTCGAGGCGCTCCTTCTGCCTTCTGCCTTCTGCCTTCTGCCTTCTGCCTCCTGCCTTCTGCCTCCTGCCTTCTGCCGCTCCTCCCGGGCATTTTCGATGCACATCGATTGATTTCGCATCAACGCAAAATGCGAAACGGATTATTAAACTTGCCACTGGCCAGGTGTGTCCCGGGCACAGAACAGCTCCTGGGAAGGAGATGGGGCAGATGGGGGAACGAGAATGGGCAATGGGAAGTGGGGAATGGGAAATGGGGAAAGCGGGGAAAGTAGTTGAAGACAATTTTGCAGCTGCTGCAATTTTCGATAAATTCTTTGCTCGAAAGATGAGCTGGGAAAATGGAAAAAGGGCGGAGTGGGGCGGCAGGGGATGCAGCAGATATTTCATTCATTTCCATAATTTTAATAAAATTGAAGAAAAATATTCAAGGCAGTGCCGCAGAAGCAGAAGCAACGACAGTGGCGGACGATGGCGAAATGAAAAGCGGAAAATGTGAAATCGCAAAATATGTGGCTATGTGATGGCGGCTGCGTCACACGTACAGTGTTCCCTCTCTACAGATACTGGAGAATGTAATGAGGTCAACTAATAAAAAAAGGAACTAACGCAAAAGAAATATTTTAAACGATAAATTAGCTTGTTTTCCCAACGATTTGCATAACAATTTCTTTTGGATATAAACGTAACATTTTCCAATGCTTTTCCTGGCTGTGTCTCCTTCTTTTCACATTTTTCGCTTTCCTGTACTTGATTGCTGCTTCTAGCATTTTGATCGTCTTTATGCCAATTCAGGTTTCTTAAATTTATTTTGGTTTTTGTTTTTCTACCTGGTCGCTTTTGTTTTTGGCGTTCCTATGCTATGCATGTGCCGCTGTGAGCTGTTTTCCCCCTCCAACCTCCGAGGGAAACACATACGAATATATACATATATGTTTTCCCATGTGGAGCAAGGAGCCGTGTCAGGCAAATGACATAATTCAGTTGCTGGCAAAGTTTTTGACTGATGCCATGACAGGCGACCCCTTTTCTGGGCCACCTACCTCCTCCATGCCTTCTTGGCCAAAAGTTCAACGTTGGATTCTGATTGCCGACCATTTTGCCGAACCACTCATTCTCATTCTCATTCCCATTCTCTTTTTTAACACTCAAAGAAATAATATGTTGGAGTTTAGCGACATGGTAAAATTATTAAAAACTCTATCATAAAAAAACCTTAATTATGTCAGAAGAAAATAATATAACAAGATGGTTTTCCATAGAAGTACTGCTCAAAAACATGTAAGAATCTTCTCAAACTCGAAGAATTTCCAAAGTGCTGCCACTTGCGGAACAAGAGCGAGCCAAGGAAACGAACAGCGAGCATGGGATGTGTCACCAGGTGGAAGTGCGCATTTAATCCAACCAAAATTCCTAACATCAACAGCCAAACTGTTCCAGAAACACGAAAAAAGAGCCAAGGACCCAAAGTCAAGGGGTTAATACCGAACATGTGCCGCCTCTAAACAATGAAAATGACTTTCACCGAGGGCTGCTGTATTTGTATGCGAGGGAAAATTAAAATGTTGAAAAGTTTTTGCAGGACAAGCGGACGGGGCGGGCTATTTGCCTATTTTCTTCATTGAAAATTTACGAGCCTTCCTGCTAAGCCACTTGAAAGCATCTCCCGCTCATAACTCATGATGTTTGGGGCCTCCTCGGTCCCAACATTTGTTTTTTCTGTTTCTGTTTCTGTGTTCGCTTTTTTCCATTTTTTTCCCTTCCATTGGGCTTTTAATTACGCCCAAGCCCCCGCAGCAGCAGAACGGCCCGAAATTAATTTAGCCAAATCATGGGGAATCAACAGGAGTAGCTTGAAAAAGGACATGTGCGTGTCCTGACGAAGAGGAAAAGGGCATGCCGAATAATAGAATAGAACCAAACGAAACAGAACTGAACAGACAGAACAGGACAAAAGGGCACTGGCAAACAAGGGTTAAGCAGCGCCCGCCCCCATGTGTGTGGGCGTGTCGCGGCCTCCTTTTATATTTATGGATACTACGTGTTGTAGTGGGCGCGTAATGGCCATCCCACCTTCGGTTCGGCTGTGCTGCCGTTTTTAGGGCCAAAGCGACAACATAAAACAGTCGTAAAATTTATTAAGTGAAATTTTGGTGTATGTAAAATAAAGCTGCCAGCAAATGAGGCAAAAAGAACTCTGGCCCAAACACAAAAACCCAAAGAAGGGCGGCCAAAATGTGTAATTGCGGGGCAAGGCAAGGCAAATATGAGAAAAACGTTTGCTGGACAAACGCTAATTACGCAACAGAAACGGAAAATGTGGGAAATTCTTGTGAAAGCTTGTGAAAAGCATTCCCCTCTCCCTTGGAATTTTCGCAATCAATTAAATATTAGTTAATTGGCTTGTTGTCTTCCCTCCCTCTGTTTGGCCTAGTTGCCCGCTAATTTTACACTGCTTGATTGCTTGATTGCTTGTCAGTCCCTTGATTGTTGGCCCCTTGGCCAACCGCCTTCTCGCAGGTTCATTCATTCAGCTGCTTAATTGCATTGCGTTTCGTTTCGCAAATTTCTCGCGCCCTATTGAAGATGATTTGGTGCCATTTTTCGTTACGTTATCCAAGTTCGTTACTCATTAGCGTGCCAAAGTTGCTGCGAAACCCCGGACTCTTGGCTGAAACAGCTGCCCTTCGCTGCTAATTGCACAGCATTCTAGTGTCCCAATTCCGATTCCGCTTTTTACGATGCGATTCTAACATTGTATTCCGAAATGCCACTCTACTCAAGAGTTCTGGTTAGCTGCGCTTTGCTCAAGGGCTAAATTTATTTCCAAAATCTGTAGATCCTGATGGTTCTTGGCATTGAACTGGAATTTGGCTGATCGGAACAGGCGGGGCTTTTAAGTGGGAGGCTGTGGACTGTGGACCGTTTCCGACTCGGGCAATGACCGTGCTTCCGTCCGAGGACCGTCCTCTTCCCCGAGTGGCAGAGCCAGGGATGGGAGGAGGGACTCGCTGTTCTCGCTGTAGGTAAGACCCCTAAAGGGATCACTCTCCAGTGGCGGCATCGACTGGGGAGGCGGGTGCTTCAGGCGCCAGGGATAGACGCCGCCGTGCCGCTCCAAGATGCCGGACCTCTGCGGAGGCCTCAGAGCGAGGGGAAAGCTCCTCTGGATGAGGGCCAAGCCCTTGGCCTCGCACTGCAGGGCGTTGTACAGCTCGGTCTTCTTGCGGGCGACCTTCTGGGTGGTGGGTGGACTGAGGGCCTGGTTGACGCAGTTGTCCCGCCACAGCTCGAACTCCTCGTGGGTGAAGGCCAGGTTGGAGATGTCGGTGATCTCGTGCAGCACCACCAGATCCTCGTAGCGCAGCTGCAGGGCCACGTTGGTGGGCACCTCCCCGACCTTGTAGCCGAAGCCCAGCTCGCCGATGCCCAAGACCTCGGCGATCCGGTGCTCGGGCGGCTCTCCTCGCCCGCTGACGTTCACCCGGACAAAGCAGCCCGTGACTGCCTGCTCGAAGGCGGGGCGCACCAGGAGGAGACCGATCCGATGGCGACTCAGACGCAGCTGCTCCAGCTGCTCCCGGGCGACCACCGGAGCACCCGGAGAAGGCGGTTTCTCGAGCCCCTCCGCCCACAGCTCGTCCTCGTCGTCGACTCGCAAGGGAGTCGACCGCAGGTGCCTCAGCTCCCGGACTATTTCCGCCACCGGGCGGCGCGTCCGCCGGCCTTGAAAGCCGGACATTTAACGAGGCTGCCTTCTTTTATCAAAGGTTTGAGATGCCTTCTCGGATTTGCTGGGATAAGGTGACAACAGAATTCGGAAAGCAGTTCGTAAGCAAACAGAACTAACCAAGGCTACTTGAATTCAATAGTTATAAGTGGAAATGGAAAAAGTGTTCTATAGGTTAATCGTTATTATTATTAATGCTCAGATTATGTCTGCAGGGTAACCTTATAACCTGGAGATGGCCCTTTTCTGGATTATCCGTTTGAATGCATTTAACGAGCCACCCTCCGTTTTATGCCCTCCATAAATGCCAGGAGCCAAACTATTAAATTTATATTAATTTCGCAGTTTTTCCTTGGCTAGCAATTCACTTGGCACTGGCACTGCTGGCACTGCTCAGCCCCTGCCGCCCCTCCGATAATACCTGCTGGGTGAAAACGTGGGAGGGGCGGTCGGATCTTCCCCATTTGGCAAGAGATTTATTATACAATTGCTTTAATTACAGTTGCAGCTAATTGTATGCGGACCTCCCGGGCAGATGCTACTTTTGATGCTGGCACAGAGCCCATTGTGCGGGGGTACAGTGGATACATTGGGTTGGATAGTGGGTACAGTGGTTATCGGTTGCTGCGCCGCTGGATTGGGTGGGTTGGTGGACTGGTGGCCTGGTGGGTTGCTGGAGAAGCGATGCAAAATCTTTGCATGCTTGTATGTGAGTATGCATAAATAACTCGCTTGTATGTGTGGCACATCGAATATGCTGCTCACGCACAAATCCGCCTGGCGCGGTTCCTAGGCCTTGCCGCAACCCCTTTCTTTCTCCCCTTTCTCTCCTTTCTCCCCCTGCAGTCCCTTCCCTCGGAAAATCCTTAGATCGGCCGCCCATCCTTTAGCATGCGCACACACTTAAGGGCAAACTCGTTTATGCAAGCTCAGTCATCATCATCGCTGGCATCCCCGTGCTCCGTGCTCCGTACTCCCCATCGGCATCGCAATCCGGGCCCCCTCAACCCCCTCTGACCCAGCAGCCGACTATGACTACGATGAGCTGACCAACAGAAATTCACTTCGATTTCGGAAATGGCTTCCCCCGTTCCAAGGAACGAACGACTCGACTCACTGCCGAAAAATCAACTCTTTAAGGCTCTCAAATTAAATCAAAATTTTGCAATTTCGAGTAGCCATAGTTCTGGAAAAAATTAGTGGAAACTCTGGGACATCAATGGGGAAAATAATGCCTTTATCTGAAGGGTAGAAACTAAGACCTTTTCCGGTTAAAACGAACCTTGAACAAAGGAGGTACACTTGATATAATAGCTTCGGTACAGCATTTCATCTAGATAGATAGTTCGGTATCACTCGAACACACTTACAGGTCTGCGATCTGTCTTTCACCCGTCGAGGGCTGCAGTGCCCGTTTTATAGCACACTTAAAGGTATAACTTTGTAGGAAGGAGCGCGGCGCTGAAGTTATTAGTAGGCAGTAGACCTGAACATCATGCAAATAATCTTGGCTGAGTGGCTGCGTATGAACAATCCTAGCAAATGCTTATTGCCCTGAGACCCATCCATCACGAGGGCATCAGCTGGTGAGGAGCCAACAGCAAGTCTGCGGGGCTCAAGAACTTTTGCTCGAACACCTTTTGGCTGGGGGCGAAGTACAGTCACCACCACGGAGGCCAGTGAGCCACGCCTTGACGTTGACAGGCTGTGCAAAAAGTTGGCGTCCGTCGGAGAACCATGACCATGCGAGGGAGGAGCTCTGGGGACGGAAGGCGGGACCCTCGTCCAGTTGGCCGACATGCCAGGCCCAGAACCCTTTGCCAAGTTGCCAAGTTGCCAACAAGGCTGTCCACTGACGTACACGTACACGTACGCATTTAGACGGTCTCCGGGTCCGAGCGAATCGTTGAAAGTAGAGAACAAGCGAGCAATACTCGTAGTCCCAATAGTCTGCATAATTACTCACTTACACGGTCACGTTGCACCGCTTCTTAAGTTGGCATGGTCACACTGCCCAAGCATTCTTTGCATTGACTGGCCCTACTTACAAGATCATGTACTCGTCATGTAGGAACGCAAAGAGAACCAATCTCACTCGATACTATAAACTAAAGCGATTGCTCGGTAACAAACTCAGTTGGCAGCATGCAACGCACTTCCCGAATTCAGAGTCTTAAGCTCGAAAATCCCCGTTCCACGTTTCACGTTCCTCGTTCCACGAGGCAGTCGGGCCGAGAACGAATCTCGGAATCTCGGATACGGATACCCATGTCAAAAAGAAAAGTGGGAAGCGGGCGGGAAATGCGACTAGGCCAGGGGCATTTGCGAGCTGCGAATTGTCAGTTGGCAGTGAGGCAAGGAAACTTGTTTGTTGCACAGAAACAAAAGCGCTTCCGCTTTTCATGTAAAATGACAGAAACAAGTGTTAATGGTTTCGGGCTTAGGCAAAGGCAGTGGCAGTGCCGTCGCAAAGGAAAAGCGAATGGAACGCGGGGAGGACAGTCGGACAAGCCGCACACCAAGCAGATAAGGCTATATGCAAATTAAAAGAAAATACTTGGAAGGGTCGGCCTAAGTGCGCCCAGCTGGCATTGTTTTGATCAGGCATAACCTAAGCTTTAAAGACACAGTAACTCTTCGAAATTGGCAGGCAAGGTCACAGGTCACAGGTTAAAGGGACGCTCGCACAATCCAACACCGTATTGCTTTGGGTTTAAGAGTCAGCCAGACTTCGGCTCGTTTCCCTTCCTTGGCCTTTCTCCTTTGATAATTTTATCATGCTAATTTGTGGTCTTCCTTTATGACAATCAACTCTGGTTGCGTGTCACGGCAGTAAGCCTCACTTCCGATTTTCTCTATGCTCTTCTGTTCTGCCCTTCTCTGTTTTCCACTTTTTTCATTATTTCCCCCTCCCCATCCTCTTCCTCCTCCGGCTTTTTCACTTTCCAGTCTGGGCCAATTTGGGAGCGAGACCACCGCAGTCTGCCCCGCAAAGCCCCGAAACCCAAACACTAGACCCTTGCACCCACTTCCCCCACTCCCCCCTCACTTTTTACCCTATCTCTGTCTCTGTCCCTGTCTCTCTATCTGTCTCTGTCTCCGTCTCTGTCTGTGACGTGAGCTCTTTCCCTAGTTTGAGTTGAATTTTCTGCTACTTTTTTCACTTTTCCCCCTGCAAGTGGGTTTTTTTGTTCCTCGTGCAGTTGCAGATTTTTGCATTTTACCTCCAGGAATTTCGTTCCGTATGCATATGCAAATGCCTCGGCCTACATGTGTCGGTGTCTGTTACCCAACCCGAACCCCCTCTGCCACTGCCACTGCCACCCCCTCTGGCACCCCCTCTGCCTGTGACCAACCCCCCAGCCCTAGCATATGGGAAACTTTTGCCAGCATGTTGCCTACTGCATTTTTTCTGCACTCGTTTCTTGCTGATTCCGGGTCCCCCCGCCCCGAACGCCCCCTTCCTTCTGCAGTGCAGAATTACAATAATGAAAATGTATTTGCAAAACTCGCCTAATTAGTTGAATATGAGCCATGTTGGGTATTCAAATATGCACAGGCAGGCTGTCAGACAGGGACAGCCTGCTGAGGAGGAGACAGAAGGTGCGGGCGGCGGGCAGTGGGCGGTGGGCGGTAAGGGGGAGGGGTAATGTGTGGCACAGATAGCAAACACGAACTGCAAGCAGCTAAAAAAGTTTCTCAATTGCACTGCTCTTGTTTGACAGCCAACATGGTAGGTAGCATTTGTTGTAGAGCGTTCACTGTACGATATCCCTTTTCCCGTAAAGTTTTCCTTATTCCAAATCTAGTTGCTAGTTCTTTGATCAATAGACTCCAGTCATACAAAATACGCAGCCCATGCAAAACGCCTGCGCGAAGGACTTGCAAAGGTTTCAAATATCTTACGTATAACGTGGTAATTTCGTGATAGCCGAAAGGAAAAGGGAAAGGTCTCTTCCTAATTCCGTAAAATTGATTAAAGCCCATAAACCTCCCGGAATATTAACCCATTTGTGCCACCGTTGGCCAAGTGTTAAAGTTGTCGAGAGCATTGAACGCACCTGCGACACTTGTCCCCCCGCCCCGGCTGGGTTGCCCCCTCAAGAACAAAGAAGTAAAAAGCGCGGAATTATGCTTTTCTTTTTACCTTTGGCTCGGTTTTATGTTCTTGGCAGCAGGTGACGGCATAAATTCGCCGCTTCCAAAAAAGTTTCCCTACTGCGGGAGCCAGGCTGCGACACTTGGCCCGGGACTTGCGACTTAGGAAAGAAATACGCCTGTCAAACATGAGCGAACATAATCGACCGGCATTCGACAAGCAAATTTACACAAATCACCACATTAGTGGGCGCTGTGGGCGTGTGGACGTGTGGGCGTGGCAGATAGGAGAACACATCATAATCACAACACATCAAGTGACAATCAAAACCGCAAACAGACAAACGGCATCCCAGAGCAGCCCGAGAGCCTGAAAGTGATATGTTGGGGCACAGGGGGTGGTCCGCCAAGTGGGTGGGGTCCACCAGGTCCTCCAGGTTCTCCAGGAGGGGGAGTGGCGCGTGGGTGGCCGCCCCAGGGGGCGTGGGCGGCGTCCCACATGTGTCCGTAATGACGATTAACTGCTGAGCCGCAATTAACTGTGAACAGACGGAAATACGCTGAATGACAGCTGAAAAAGCGGGTGGTGAGTGGGTGGCAACTGGCGAGTGGGTGGAGCTTGTCGGCAGGAACGAGAGGCAAACGGAGAGGGGCAGGGCGGGGAAAAGCGGTATCCACCGGAAGCAGTCCCTATGAGCAATGGTTAAGGTTAAACAAAAAGCCAGCGAGTGACGAAAAAAATTTATTAAAGTCGAAACTTAGCACTTCGGGAAAATAAACAAAGGTAACTTTAGATATTCTGAAAATAAATATAGAAAAAAGCTCCTTTTAAATGCAAAAGAAAAAGAGACAATTAATTATGAAAAGAAATGCAGATGTTGATAATAATTTTGTACAGATTAGTTTCAGGGAAATTGAACAATTCGGTTCTCGGCATTATGCGATAAACCCGAGATGCTCCCGACTTAATAAATGGATCATAAATAATTTCTGA